CTTCCTGGGGATGGCGGGTTATTACCGCTGTTTCTGCCGAAATTTTTCGGATGTCGTTTCACCCCTAACCAATTTACTCCGTAAGGACGCCCAAGTGAATTGGTCTGCTGAATGCCAATCTGGTTTTGACTCGGTAAAATCTCTGCTTACTAGTTCCCCCGTGTTAGCTGCCCCTGACTTTGGAAAGCCTTTTAAATTGGAGGTAGACGCCAGCGGTACTGGAGCCGGCGCTGTCCTTCTACAAGAGGACGCCGCGGGTTTAGACCATCCGATTTCATATTGGTCAAAGAAATTCGTTAAGCACCAGTTGGGATACAGCACGATAGAGAAGGAGGCCCTCGCGATGTTACTCGCTTTGCAGCACTTCGAAGTGTACGTAGGTGATAGTCCCCAACCTGTGACCGTTTTTACCGATCACAACCCACTTGTGTTTTTAAACAAAATGTGTAATTCCAACCAACGACTAATGCGCTGGTCCCTCATTGTACAAGCGTTCAACTTACGGATTATCCATAAGAAAGGCGCCAGTAACTTGGTGGCTGACGCCCTCTCACGTATGTGACCTTTTTGTATATATTGGGGTAATATACCCTGTTGCTAATTAACTGTGTTTTGTGGAACCTATGAGGTTCACACTTGTGGGGGGGGGTGTTACGTCCTGCTGCTGTTCGCTCCGCCCCTTCCACCAGGACCACTCAGCTCGACCCTTGCTCCGCCTCCCCGTCTGGACCCCGCCCACGTTTCCCCGCAAGCCGGCCGTCACTTCCGTCCGGCGGAAGTGAAAAGCCGGACAGAAAGTACCCTCGAGAGCTCTGCTCATATTTTGGATTGTGTTTGGTTTACTATTTGATTGATTATTGTGTATGACGGTTTTTGGTTTCTCGGATTACGATTTCTCGCTTTGCCCTTCTCTGTACTTCTGCCCTGGTTTTGTTTGCTTTCTGGTTTTCGATCTTTCGCCCGGTTTTTGGTTTATGACTTTACGCTTTGGCTTGTATGTGTGTTTGTGTATGTATCTGGTGCGTAGGGAGTGGTTGCCGTTTTGTTTTGTTATACTTTGTGTCCACTGATTTGGAT